TCAAATGCACAGCTGGCAGCTGGCATATAGGGTTTCTTTTGTGTGCTTGCTCCTAAGAGGAATATCCATAGATTGTATGTTTTGAAAGAGCAGATATACTCATTTCTCCATTAAATGTCCTGTGCTTTTATTAACAAAGGCTTAAGAAATGCTGCTCAGCATAGAGGAATTTTGATGAGCAGAAAATCAGTTCCCTAAGTGGAATTTGGCCAAGACGGAATACAGTGTCCTGTCACACAGTTTCTAGATCTGTGGGTCTTTGGGAAAACAAAAGACAAGAATCTGCAAATCTAAGACAAGGGCATGGCCCTATCTCTTCAGTCTGATGGGTACAGGCCTGCATGGCATAAATGAATGTATATCTATTGCAGAGGCTCCAGTCCATGATACTGAAACATTCGTCAGTTGAACAGTAAGCTTTTGAGATTAAAAGATGCAGAGGAACAAAAATATTAAGAAACCACCATACCTCCCACACATTCAGAGGATGAATCATTAAGAGGCCAATTCTGCAAAGTGCTCCACACTTCTCTGCAGCTCTGCACAGGAAAAATTAAGCAATGACATAAAACAAGAAAAAGTACCCTTTCAACTGTCCCACGACCAACTGCTAGGAGCTTTTCGTTAAAGATTACCTCTTTCTTCCCTCAGCCTACACATGGGGGTTCAGATGTCAGTAGCAGAACAAGTGGTGTTCAAATTTAGCCCTGTCCACCTTTTTGATGGTTCTTCCCAGCAGTTGAGGGATAGAAGTGGACAAATAACTGGGGAGATTACTGGCATCTGTTGTTGGCTTTTCGAGCACTAGCTGAACTACGATGTATCCTAGGATGCCTGGTGTTTTTTCTGCTTTGGGAAAGACAATCATGATCAGGTCAGACATGGGCCTAATTGCTTTGTGATAAATAAACTTGTGCTGTGCAAACCATTTAGACCATTTGTGGAACATGTAATGTGGAAACTATACACTTATGGTAAGGTAAGCAGGTGGGAAGCAAACCTGCATGTTTATTACCCAGTGCTATTGGAGTTCTCATCAGCTTGGCTTGCAAGAACAAGACTCTGCAGATGTCATCTACAGACATTCATTCATACTGAGATATTTTAACACCACCTCTTAATCTTCAGGCTTATTTCATCTTGGTTCTAGGTTGAAGGGGTCAACCATGAGATGTGTTTTTGTCTTTGAGAGCTGGAAGCCTGAAATCATTGGTAACCCAAGTAGCAGATTTCTACAGAATAGCAGTAAATAATGTCACAAATACTTAAAAGAGGACAAGCAAGGAATATTTTTAAATACTTCTTTTTATGGGCCTCACACCAAACAAACTACCACCACAGCCAGAGCTGCAAGTTACTGGAAATCATAGTCAGTGGTTGTTCATTGGTCTTAATAGATATCGGTGAAATGGGCAGGAATTTCATGGTTCACAGTGTTTTACTTCTTCATGTCCAAATTTTCTGCTTTACTTTTCTCTTTTAGTTTTAAAAGTGGTCATTAATCTACGGTGATACATTAATGTGGTGTGGGCTGGGTTTTTTTGGGTTTGGGCTTTTTTTTAAGTGTATGGCATACTTTGTCCTATTAAAATAAGTTTGACTGAAGAATTATGCAAAAGGCTTTAATAATTTAAATACGTGTTCAGCCATATGGAAACGTACAATCTGTTTTATGTTCTTTGGGAAACCTACAGTTGTTATAAACTTAATTATTTTAAAACCTCCCATCCGTTATTTAATACAACAATTTGCTAAAGTAATAATAACACTCATTCTGTTATAATTTTCCATCCTAGAGATGCTTAGAGATGAATCAGGGATACAAAACTCTAATAGTGATCAAAAATCCTCTACAGTTCAGGAGGATGTAGCACTGGAGTTTAGTCCCACTATCTCTGAAAATACTATCACTTCACCCTTACACAAGGAAATGTCATTATAATATTACACAGAATGGAAGACATAACATAATAGTTTGGTTCATTAGTATTTTTCTCCATGTAATGCTTTATAAAAGAGATAAAGCTGAAGAAAATAAAAACAGACACATAAATATTACGATGAAGTACATTGTTCTTATTTAAATAAATTTACTTGAGCAATGTCTTCCTAAAGGTGAAAATTAAACACTAATATTTGTCTCACTGTATAAAAGTGACAGTAGTAATTATAAAGAACCCAATGGTCTTACGCTTATTTCACCCTATTCTTAAGTTTTCACAGCAAAAATATTAAAATTTGCAATATTACCAAAAGGATGCAAACCTGTCAAATATATTACTCTGAAGTAAATTAACAATTAATTTATAGGAACCTACCATAGGAACTATCAAGTGGACAGTAGTAATGGTTCTCTATATAAAATCTATCAAAAATTGTTGGAGAAAATATATGAAGCGTAGCTGATAGCTGATGAAATCTGCAATATGGCCACAGAGAAATAAGTTGCAGATCATCAAAGTTAGCTCTTGTGCAGAAACATCCACCATGAGTTCATTAATTTCATTTTTCACTGGAGAACAGCAGGAGGTTTCCATAATGCAACTGCCATAGGAAACTCATTCAACACTGTACTTCAAGCTTTACCCGTAGTTGGAACTTGCAACAGTTTAGATTTTTTGGTGCTCTGATCTCTCTTGCTCTCCGGAAGGCTACGTAAATATAAAAATCTTCACCACAAAGACAGCTCTCTCTAAAGCACTGGCAACTGGTCTTAGTAGAAGACTGTTCAAAAAAAGAAAGGAACAAACAGATTTAGCTGGAGTGGTAAAACAACATTGGTAAAGCAATACAGTAACACTCTATACATAAACCAGAGAACTAGGTCATCGTTAGAAGCTGAGAGATTTGTAGCCTATGACCTGCAGACACACAGGCACATAAACTCGTGGAGCTCAGAGGACCCTTTGCAGATTTAAAGGTGCTTATCTGTGTAAGTCTTTTTTAGCGTGTCAGCAGCCAAGCCCTGATCTTGCACCAGTGAAAACAAAGTGCACTTTCAACTATTCTGAATAGCCAAAAATGTCAAGTGATTGATTCTACCCAACCACAGGCATTTAACTAAAGCACCTAGACACAGACCCAATTAACCCAGGCTCTGTTCATCAACTACAGATGGAAAGCTGCAACCTCAAGAAGGTGCTTCAGTCTTGCCCAGGTCAAGGGTGACAGTGTTCCTAGCTTACACGTCTCAGCTGGGTTACTGAAATTAGTATAATGAAATTAGATGACCAACTGAAGGTCTCCCTGTATGACAGTGCTCCTAGCAACGTCCATGGAGCTTTAACCATTCACATGATTAAAGATAATCAGTGTATGTCTGTTCTGTTTTACTAGGCCTGCCTCCAGCACTGGGACCAGCCATAACTGTTTCTGGCTCTTCACCTAAATTAGGAAAGGGTTCTGCTTCCTACGGCAATTGTTGGCAGCTTTATAATTTCCCCCTCCCCACTAGCTAGACATCAAAACAGTCCCCTTCCAAAATTTAGCAATGTTTATTTAGTTCAAATTCTGAATGGAAATTTAGCTTGTTTTATTTTTCTTCAGTTGTGAACTCGTAAAGGACTTTATTTTAGTTAGTTAATTGAAACTCTTAAGTCAGGAATAGAGCCTATAAATCTTCACTACCCTATTCTGGCTGGTGGAGAACAAAGCCCCCCCCAGGTTCTCCCATAGCAAGAGGAAAGCTCCAGTACGTTACTTAGTGGGTGCCTCACTTTGGTCCTCAAGATCCTCCCCAAAATGGAGAAGATGTTTTCTAACTGCAAACTACTCCTTCCTGGGAAAAGCTTTGTCTCTACAGATGCTGGTCTATGCACTGCTGATGCACCTCACCTCTCATGGGAGGTCTCAGTACCACTGCAGGATTAGCTGTGGTGTGGTTGAAGGTGAATACAAGGACATTTGATTTTTATTCATTCCTAAATGGAGTAATACGGAGTTTCCTTGCTTCTCACTTCTCACCGAGAAGGTGACTTTACCCACTTTCTAAATTATATCTGCACCACTGAGAACTGGCCCCTGGCCCAGCCTTTACAAGAGTTACACTGCAGCTGGAGAAGTAACTGGGCGATTCCCAGACTACCTGAGAGCAGCACAGGGAGCACTGCCACCTTGTTTCTGTTCAAATACATGTCAAGCATATAACTTTAATTAAGACATACTGTACCTCCAGCTGTTTGCATCTTGATGTGTTTATTTCCTTCTAATCTTAATGAGAAAAAAAAAGATAGAGATGGTTAAAACACTGTGACATATCACTAATTTAGAACACCATTTAAAAAAAACCATGCAAGAAAGGTACTACTCTTCCAAAACCAGTTACTATTATTTTGGTTAATAATGTTATTTTTCTTCATTTTTTTGTTTTGCAGTGAATTTTGGAAGCACCAGCCAGTGACTAAACTCTGTGCTGTACGTATATGACAGTAGCATTTTGTTGTATTAAATCTAAACAATATTACATGATTTCATAACTGTATGTTTATGACTTGTCTATTAAGTACCTATAAAGCTAATGCTTTTTCCCACTGTTCGAAAATATCACATGGAAAAGAAACAGTTTCCATTGGGTTTCATATGAGAACAGAAATAAACCTGAAAGCAAGCACCTACTAACTGTTATTACTGGAATTCACCACAATGCAAGTAAACACCTTCAAAACCAAAAATAGCGCGGAGGCTCTGCAAGTGCATCTATCACAGCCTCTTAGTCCTAACAGGGTTTTGTTTTCTTTGAATTCACAGAGCACTCAGAGCGTGGAGAAGCTGTTCAGAAGACAATGTACCACATTGTCAGCATCTGCTCTAGGATCCTTCTGCAAAAGTGTGTTAAAATTTAAATAAATGGGAACAATCACTTTAACGATTATAAATAGCCCCATTGCCTTAAGAGGCTCCAAGGCTAGCCAGTCTGTCTGAAATAATAATTGATTTTTAAAGGAAATACATCCTAATAGATAAAATTAAACCGAGGAAGCAGGAGAAATGCAAAACGCAACCTTCCAATACCTTTCGGTGTAGCTTTCGTCTGACTGGAAACCATGGCAGCCGCATCCGATGGCAGGCCAACATACACGCCACCATAGTTCCTGATTTAAAGAAACAATTAAAGAGACATCAGAGCTTAACTGTCACACTTCTCCCTATAATGTTGACGTCACGCAGCAGCATTACAAAGACCACGGATGGTGAGAGAGGAGGGCACCTCTGCACGAACATCTGCAGAGGAGCCCTCCTCTCCCATGGCTATGGGAAAACTGCCTATTAAGTGCCACGTTCTTGCTAATATGGTGCCAGGCAAAAAAAAAAAATCAGGCTAGCTGCTACTCTTAAGTGGGACCCAAGCCTGCGAAAGGAGCTATTTTTCACTCAAATTCCTAATATTTTTCATTAAATCCCAACTGTCTTGTGACAATAAACCCCAACTGCCCAGCTTCTTCTAGACACTGAATATATCCAGCTGAGGACAGAGCCAATCTGACAGTAAGGCTTGACACTACGACCACCAAAGCACCTCACTTCAAACAACACACACCAATTAAACAGCACTTTGACCTCTCCTCGTTAATAAATAGGACCTGCATCCCCCTGCTTAGGGCCACACTTGGAGAAAACTGTTAGTAGGAAGGAGCATGAGGGTGTTGGTTACTTTCATAGGCCAAACCTCTCCTCTTCATGGCGTTGCAGAGCATACCTTCTGGCTCCGAGGCCTGCGTGAAAAGCAGGGACTGATGCAGGGAGGTGAAAATCTGGGTCCTCAAGAGCCTCTGCTGTGCCTGGAGCTGCTTGCAGACCCCCATTACGCTGCTCTGCCCCATTAGGTGCCAAATCACTCATACCTCCTCCAGCCCCCAGGGCTCTGAGTCAATTTGGGATTTGTTTGATGATAGAGTCATACTTCCTTTGATTCCCAGCCCAGCGGAGATCTCCCACAAGTGCTAATGCCATCTTCTGTGGCGGGGCTGATATGAAGGCAGAGGTCACTGGCCCTTATCGAGCCCATCACCTACAGCTGTGAGATAATGTGCTCTTCTTGCCATGAAGTTCCCCCCTCCCCAACTCACTAATGGGGTGGGGGGGACTCATCAATATTGGGCTCTGTGTGAGATTTCCTCCCTTCTTTTCTTTTTTCTTTTTCTCTGCTTTGGTGCTATTGGTGGGACTTAGGAGGAGGGAAGGAAGGATGTACATCTGGCGGCAGAATTCGCTGCAGCCTATTGCAAATAAAGCCAGCCCCGGTAGAGCACCTACCTCCTTTTGTCATCATCTGATACGGATTCTTCTGCTCTGTAACATCAAAAGATACAAAGCACATTAGCAGATTGTTTCTTTCAGATACTCCATGACCATCTGGGTAGATTCAGGAGCAAGGGAAGAAGGGAATTATTACTGATCCCAGTTTAATTCAGGTCATCCACAATTCAGTAAAGTACTCACACAGGCACAAAAAAAGCGACAATTTTCCAATCTAATGTATAGAAGAAAGAAAAGGATTGAGAATAGATGAAGCTTACTTTTCATGACCCCCACCAGTGATGGCTGAAAGTAGATTTGGGAGCTGAAACAGGTAAATTCCTGAGTGAGTCCCCACACTGCTCCACGCATAACAGGAACATAAAGGCTCCACACATAACAGGAACGAGTCTGGGCTGCCATTCCGCAAAAAGAGGACTGGAAGGGACTGGGTGTCCATGCTGGCACGGGAATGAGGATGAAGAAAGATAAACTTTCCCAGCAGCTGTGCCAAAAGATGTCACAGACCCTCTCCGTAAAATGAGGTACTGCAATTCCCAAAGTCAGAGTTGTTTGCAAACCAAATAACTGTTACTAATCCTTTATAAATGGGCAATTACTTCTCTTTTACCTTTAGGGTAAAATCAAAGGTCAGTCTGTAGATCGATAGGGAGTCACTGAGGTTTGAATCCCCCCACTGAAATACTGTCCGGTGTAGCTGAACTGGAGCAGGGGGTAATCAGCACTGGTGCGAAGGCAAATGTAATATGGAAGAGAGAAAAATTTTATTCTTACTTCCTGAGGGTATAGTGCCTGTGCTGCAGTCTCAGTCTGTGCCCCAGCATCAGTCTTCACACAAATCACTCACCCACCTTTGATTAAATATTTGGACTTTGAGCTCTGCTTGCATGGCTGTATATGGATCGGGGCAGCAGCTGCACCTTAGCTTGGTCTCCAACCTACCAACCTAGCAATAAAAATAGAGGCAAGATAATTTGAGTTCTGTTAAATCCACAGACATCCTTCACTCCTTCCCTACAGCTGGGGCCAACTGTGACAACTGCCCGAGAAGGAGTCCTGCACCTCAGGGAGCCATGAGATTCGGCCATAGCAGTGCCCGGGGAAGGCTGCAAACAGCGAAGGGAGCACCACGACCCAAGGAGGGCTCTGCTGTGGAAACGCTTATGCACGGGCTGTTCACCCAGATATCCTCACCTGAATATTCCCATCGAAGGACCAATTGCCTGGACTATGGGGGCAATGCAAAGATACTCCCCATCAGGAGCTGATCCATGAATTTCTGATCTGCTCCCCAGGCAATGAAACTGAGAGCTGGCCTTTACCCAGCGTTAGGGCTAAATGCATACCATAGCCTTGATAGGCATTTCTGAACTATGATCTTGAACAATAATATATGACATTTCTTACTGTCATTTATTTATTCTAAATGGTAGATGTGCCTACTGTTTAATCATCAGGGCTGTATGCCATTACTAACCCCTGAAGTCAATGGGATTTTGGCCTGAAGTGCAGAGAGCTCGTAGCAAGGTGCAGCCTTAAGTGCAAGAAAACACCCCTTAAACCTCAGTAACACTCTCCTGGGAGGGTAGCAAATGCCTTAAAAATACTGCTACAAGTTGGAAATTATCTTACACTTATCTTCTTTCTAATTGGCAGAACATTACCAACTATCCCTTCTGAGTCACCACAGTGAGTAAGGGCACACAGGTCCTTTTAATAGTAGAAGTTTGAGGTAAATTTAAGTATGCTGCGGTTTTCCTAAATTATATTCATGCAGGGCATAGCACTGAGTGGGGTGAGCCTCCTCGTCCGCTGTCTTTGCCTACGTCTTACCACTGAAGAGAGACTAAGCAATAAACTCCTCATTCTCTGGCCCTCCTGCCACTCCTCCCTGGAGGAGCTAGTGCCATTTCAGAAGACATTTCCCATCTCCTCTGACCCCACGTAGCCTAAGCCACCTTGCAGTCCTCATGCATACAGCCGGAAAAATGTAGAGACAACTTTCCTTGAGGACTGTGAAGCTGCTCTGTCCTAGTGTGGGCCAATTCCAGCTGAAGAAAGTGGAAATCAGTGGCTAGAAATGAGGCCTGTATTTCAGAAAAAAAAGAGGGACTTGGGGTGCCAAAAGATCACAAACAATCATCTCTGTTGAACCAACCGAATGTGTCACAGGATTGATTTTCTCATACAACTGGAAACATTTTCTATAATCCAGATTAACCATTATCCAGAGAAAAGAATCCTTTAAAAGCACTGGCAACTTCATGCACAGCTCAAAGCCTCTAAAATGGAGTTGTAAGAATAATAATCAATATTGTCCAACAGGAATTAATGTCAATGTTTTAAAAAAAAGACTCTACTAGGCAACAGGGCTATTTTCTTCTGTTCTAGAAATGTTTTGTAATGGGGCATCATTGGACCATTACTGTCATTCTCTCACCAAAACAAATTATCCCGGTGTATGATTAAGCAGTCTAGTTTTTTTCTAAACATTTGCTTTCTTCCTTTCCTCTGAATATCTACAAATCAAAGTCTAATTTTGCAATACCTTTTCCCTTAAATGCGCAACAGCAAATATAATCTGGGATTGTACAGGCCCTAGCTCTTGGGCTGGGTGATGACTGGGTGCAATCTGTTGTAGTCCTGCTAGGAAAGAGGAGGTGAGCAGAGACAGAAGGAATATGGAAGCGTGAGAGGGATAAGAAAGAAAAAATTCTGGTGATGACACTTAAGGAAGAAGCCATTTTCCATCCTTTTCTGGGGACTCCTTTCTAAGCAGCATGGGAAGGAGTGTTGCTCCAGTTTATGCGCTACGCATATTCACACACCTCTTGCCTTCACACACACTGTAGCTTAAGACCCCATTTTGAAAGGTGCCCACTAATTTCAGATGTTCAAATGTCCAGGTGCCAGCTAAGGCACTGCAGCAGGTGCTGCTCCTGCGCCCACGCTGGGTGAACACGGGTGGCTCCGGGGAGCAGAGCTACAACAGCAACACTCGACCGACCGCGTGGAAATGGGAATGGAAAGAAGCTCCTTTGATTTTGGCACGGGTCCCACTGCCACATCTCCCAGACTCACAGACAGGGTATGGGGATACAGGAGTCCAGCACATCCTGCCTCTCTCCCTCTCTACCTCCTATGTGTCTCTAGCTTCTTCTTATGTCAGGGATGAAGGAAGAACCTAGCATAAAAAATATCTTTATATATCTCCATTTACAGAGTCCTCCAGGACTAGCACGTTAGGATAAGTTTTTCTGCACCAGGAATAGACAGCAAAAGGAACTTAGCAGTCCTGTATGCTTTGTACTGTTCTGCTGCCATGTCGCTGCATCTTCCCTCAGATGTTGTTGACATCTACTGCAGAAGAACTGAGAGCACATTTTTCAGCAGGTAGTGTAGGTGGAGTCCTGTAGCCGGTAGGCAGATTTAACAGCAAATCCACATAATGGCATTCTATTTTCAGCTAGAATAAATGTTTCTTTTGGTAAAGATTTGTCTATCCCAAGAGGCTTCCTGTCACCCTCCTAAGTTTGAAAAATATACTTGGTTCAGCTGTCAGCTTTTACATCCATCAGTTCTATGTCCATTTGATGGTAAAAGAATCTGCCATTTTTCACATAATATTTTAAATATCAAATGACAGGCATTCACATTAATTCATTCCATCCGCATTTTTCTTACTTCAGCTTTTATGACTCTGTTCGTGCTGAGCATTATACAGACTCTTTCTAGCCATGCTCAGTAGTCCCACCAGAAATGATTCACTAAACTTTGCCAAGTGACAGACTACATCTCCTCAGTTTCTCAGCGTTTCTTGGGAACAAGGGCCTGTCATTTGTATTTGATGGATTTCTTCTCAATATTTTGAAACAGGCTTGAACTGCTGTGTCCTCTCCTTCCTACTGTTACTAATCTTCCTCTGAACTTTGCCACATTCTGAATATCACTGGTGTTGCATTATTTTCTAACATACACTTTACCCCTCCTATATCTAAGTTTTCCAGTTAGCTGTGACGTACTTCTCTCTATTAGTGGGGCAGGAGCGTTGGCTGAAGCTGGCCGACAGATCCACCGTTGATTTGAGGGTTGGAGTACACAGGGAGAGATCACGTTCCCAGACCATACGTCCTTCTTGTCGCCGCACGGCCCTCAGCTCACAGCACTTTGTGTAGGAAGATCATATCATCATCCCTATCTTACTGGTGGAGAAACTCAATGCCCAGAGGGTAAAGTAGCTTCCCTGCAGTCATCCGGGAAGGCTCAGAGCGGGATCCAGTCCTCCCTCCTTCCACCCGACTGCTCACTCCAGGAGATGCTGGTGCCTTGGCAATGAGCCGCAGTCAAGAAATGAGAAATCTCGAGTTGGAATAACCTGTTTCTGTATCAAAAAGTATGCTGTAAGTAAGGACACACCTAAATGCCTTTCTGGACCAGAATCAATATGACTGAAATTTGACAGCAAAAGAAACGTGGGGTTTTTAAAGAGAATTTCTTTAATCTTTAGCTGATAAAAGTGAAAAGGTGTAAAATAAAAGCTTGCGTGGATACATAATGTTTGTTAATATAAATCTGCTTTGTTCATTTCCATGAAACTAAAATAGGTTTTCTGGTATTTTACTTCCTTCGTAAAAATCTGCTGTTAAATATTAGGATAATTGATTTAGGACTTTTCAGGTCACCATTGCCAGTCCTCGTTAACAGATCTGTGTTTCTAATGTCTGACAAGAAGGCTCAACCATGCTATTACTCACACAGGTTGTTTGGCTGGTTCCACTATACTTACCTCAATGAGTAATGGTTCCAGGATTGACCTTTTCACTTTGTTGAAGTCTGCACTAGTAATTAGTTTTTTCTAAGTTATCCTGATACTTTTTTGAAACATGACAGATGATCTAACACTAATAAGCAGGATGCTCCTAGTTAAACTCCTAAAGCCTGGCCAAACAAATGCTTACACACACATAAATGCAGTTCTACATATACCGATACCTTTAAGCACAGAAACATGCCTACTAAATTCATAATTTAACAGTGCTTGCAATTTGAAATTTAAAACTACCAAAGAGCAAAGACAGAGATGCAGTTCTAAGTCAGTCACTTAAGTTATCTAAATTGAACAACAAAAAAAGCTTTAATATAAATTAAAAACAGTGGGTTTGTATATATATAAGTAATGAGGGCATGAATGCTGCAGACTGTATCAAGAAGAGGTTCCTCATAAGCTTGCCTTCTGTAATTTTTTTATTGTCTGACACTGCAAACCCAGAAAACAGACTACACGGGTAACACAGATCTCAAGAGTATCTGTGACAAGTGTTCATCTGCCAAATGAGACCTGTCGTTAGAACTCAGCCATGCTCTGTAATAGCAGGGACAAGCCTGTTGTTAAGCTCTTCTCTCCACTTGTTTATCTGCCTTGACAGCCCTCATTTCTACACCAGGATTCCTCCTTCTAATTAGAGTAGTTATTCTAAATGAAGTAAATAAAACTGAAGAATGTTCCTATTGCATAACATGAAAATCTTTCCCAGGTCCCTCAGTCTCAAACTCCAGTGGCAAACACCAATTATATGAAATAGAAGAAGGCAAGACCTCGGGAGGACTTCTTTAATATTTCCTTTGACAGGAAAACAAATTTATGGCTAAATAAAGCTGTTCCTGCACATTTCTGAATCAGCAAATGAAAAATGAGCTGACAAAAGCTGATCTTTTGCTGCTGCTTTTCTGAAAACCAGAAGTTGGCAAGAGGCAACAGGACAATAGAGGTTCAGACCTTCCACATTTAGAGAAAAACAGGATGGGTAGGGCTGCCCTCTGCTACACAGCGTCAAAGATAAGGGAGAGAAAGAGGAGCATATAGATACTATCTTCAGTGCAGAGAACATCTAGAGAAGGTGGGTACTTTGAAAAGGAAGTCTGGATGGGTTACGGTGTCTCCTGCAAAGAGGGGAAATTTGCCTAAGTGTCTCTTTAAATCTCTCACAGGGCTTGGTGGAAATTTATGTGGTCATGGCCTTTGGAAAAAGGTGTACTGGTATGTGATGGGGAAGAGTAGTCTGAAGTAACATGACCACCTCTGGCAGACAACTCTCTCAACAGAAGCAAAGAAAAGACATTTCTGTTAGAGAAATAATAAGGCAAGGAATCTGTAGAGAAGTAAACAAGACATGAAGTTGTTTTGTGGAGATGGAAGCTGTCACTAAAGACAATAAACAGCTGGTGGTGTTGATTATATGTTAGGCGCTAGATGAATCATGTATGACTAAATCTAGTATAAGGCTTGTAAGACTGAAGATAAGTCCAGGGTTACATATTTGAAAGAGTAGAGTAAGTACTTACACATCTTTAGTAGTCCCTGTGGCACCTAGAATAAAAAAAAAAAAAGTGCATGTTTACAAGATAATGGCATAATCCCCTAAACCAACCGATAGTACAGTAAGCATTTTTCTGCCTTTCTGTCCTAAACAACGCAGAAATAGTGACAGGAATTTTCTATTGTCAGAGAACAGGTTTCTCATGATTGTCTAGTTTATCCTTAATGATTATCTATATTATCCCTTAAGTCTATTATGCTTAGATCTGGGCCCAATTCTCAGTGGGTGAAAATGATGCTGCTGTGGACCAGTGCTCAGGTGCAGTCACTCAGGATGAAAGCAACATAGGATAAAATTCATCTTTCTGAATTTTATATACTTCACTTTGCTCAGTCCTCTGGTGGTTTCATCTGCTACAAAGTCGCCACAACTAACCCCGGAGTTACTCCTGAATGCCTGTTTATTTTGTCGTTTGATTCAGTTGTAGACTTGGCACTACATGTGTAAAATGCTGCTCTGCTCTTCCTGCCAGATAAACGAAGTTTTATAAAACAACTAGACAGAACTAATATAAACATTGGGACACAATCCATCCAAAGCCCCAGACATCTAAAGAGATCAACAACGCCTTAATTCATCTTGCTGTTTAACAAAAAAGAAAAAAGACATAAGCTACCACCTGGCTGCCTGATCTCAGTGATTGATTTTTTTTTGGTGACTCAGATGCTTCTTGCTGGGAGAGGAACGTTCACTCAAGTACAAACTCTTTCCTGTTCCTCCCAAGTTATTAATGCCATTTTGCTACTGCTGGTATATCATTCAGCTGAGTAACCAGCAAATTATCCTTTCTATTAATTACACATGCTAGGGTAGACATTAGAAAACCTTTCACTTCTCCTTTTTCTCTTCCTCTCAGTACTTAGCTGGAAGAGGTTATCCGAGCTCACTCTGAAGAAACTAGTTGTCAATCCAAAAGATATTATGGGTTTGGAGGTAGGTTGGGTTTTTTTCAGCCACAGCACTTAAATTCTTGAAAAACTTTATTTTTGCTGCTGAAAAATACCCATAAATAGCAAATATCTTTCGTCTCACTCTGATGTGTAAGACTATGCTTCCTGCATCCTTATTTTAAATGCAGAGAGGAAGAAACAGTCCTGCAAGGCCTTCCGGCACTGTCTACCTGAATGGATGGCTTGGATGGCAGAAAACAGCTAACTCTTGAACATAATATCACTCCCAATTCCTATGACTTGACTATCCCTCCTTTTCCCAGCAACAATGTAGACTAGACTTGGATAAGACTGTACACAATTTTGTTGGTATTGCTTCCATAGTCAGCAAAACCTCAGTACAGTTATATGTATCAGCAGAAGCTCTTAATTAAGCTGGAGGAAGTACCTCTATGCAAAATAAGCTCAGGTCCTCACTTTAAAACTTTATTCTACCAGGCAGCTTTCTGAGACTTTTTGGCTTTATAGGCACGTCCACGCAGTACTACATACAAACCCTCCAAATTAATTGTGTCCAGGTGGAAGGTTGGCATTGCAGCACTGCATGCAAGCTCAATCTCAGCTGATGGAGGAGATGTTTTCTGCTACCAAGGCTGGATCACCAGAGTCAGCTCAGCTATATACCTCAGGGCACCACCCTGCGCATCTAGACAGAGACTAGGCATCAGCAACACCTCAGACAACATATGTTTTGAAAAGCCTAGCTCTGTTGCTATAGCTAGCAGGATTTTTTTTTTCCTAGAAGAAACTATTCTTGTGCTGTGCCTGTTCTGCACCAGAACCACAACTTTCTCATTTTCTCAACCTAAACTCACTGCAAACAAACTCAGTTTTTCCAAAAAGGTTCATGGTCCTTTGTGAGGCCTTTGCCAAGCCTTTTCTGAGTCTGAGCTGAGGTCTCAGCGCTTTGGATCCTCATTTGAAAAACTTATGCCTTCCTTGCAGGAAGTATACCAAAGGTAAAAAGTGTTTAATACACAAACCGAAACCTTAGCTGAGTGAGAACTGTGTACCTACAGTACCACTACATTTCCCGGTGGAGATGCTCAAGTTCCAGTCAATCACCAGGCACACTTCAATGCCATACCCATGTTCAGTCCCATACGTGTGTTCAGTGCATTACGGTACACATACATTCGCACTCTGGGCACAAGAGCTGTCTCTCAGACCCATCAACTTGGGCTTCGCGTAGAGCTATACAGCTATGAACCTGTGTTTGAGAACAGAGATGTGCCACTAGCATTCACACCTGGCAGCACTTGTTTCCTTTGAATATTAGAGAGGGTACCACTGCTGAAAAATCACTGCAGCATTTTGAAATGCACCTCACACAAAACCACTGAGAACTAAGTGTGGTAAAAACAAATTTGCTTTTAAAGATATCATTTTTACTATTTATAATAAATAAATACATATAATAAACAAACAAATAGTTTGCTTTCTATTGTTTTTATAAGCACAAAGAACCAGGTTATCCTCACTTGCATTGATGGGATTCTATTGATTTCAGCGGTATTATTTCTCATTTTCACTAGTAAAAATGAAACAAGAGTTTGGTCCAAATTCACTTGAGTACCACTAAAGTACCTGAATATAGATCTGAAAGTATTTCCAGTTTACAAAGCAGTTTTCTTCCCGGAAGACTTCTGAGCTTGCAAATGAACATCACTTCAGTTAGGTGGCCCATAAGTATCTCTATGTAAAAACTCATAAGGTTTTCTTCATTAGGGAGCCTGAACACTCCTTATACATAGATTTTATTTGCCAAGGAACCTAATAACATCTCAGTTTGTACAGACATGTTTGTTTTTAAAGTCCAATCCATTCACCCTCAACCCTGTTACTTCACTGACATATTTGTCTAACTCTTCCATGTTTAGTGAGCGACACATTATTTTATAGCTTCTCAAGTTTCTCCTGCCAGAAGTTCAGCCAAAGAATCTTGTTTACTATTGATTCACAAACAGTGCATAGCTGTTCCATAGCAGCAAGGCTTAGTGCTCTTGTAGCCATGATGGTTTAGATATATGACTTGAGAAAAGCCTCACATATTTCAAAGCTTGTCCATTTTTTCCCACTATATCAGCTTGGCCTAAAAAAAGGCAGTGCTTGACCCTACAAACCTCGATAGGTTCATGTTGGTTTTGTTTTCCAAACCCTGCCTAACCTCAGCAACAGACAGAGGGCTAGCCAGGAAGCTGCATCCACAAAAAATAGGCATTACTGAATTGTCCTGAACGACCCCTCTGCTCACACCATCTACATAGTAGGACCATGGGTGCATCTTGGCATTTTAGAGCTGCAGGAGAAGGAAGAATACAGCCTGCGGAATAAACGAGACCCATTCAGCCATACATTGGTCTGAGCCCAAGCGATTACAGAAGAAAAAACATTCTGTCTAGAGTAGTGGAGCTGTGATCCCTCAAAACCCCCCCATGGCATTGCAACAGTCACAAATGAAGAAGGACAAGAATGTATCCCAAAGTATCTTCCATTCACTGAGAGGGGGTTTTGCACTTTCAAAACAACAGCAGCTTGTAACTGGTGACCCTGCAGGATTTCAGTAAATGCAGGACAAATGTAAAAGATGGTTGAAAGAAATTGGTAGCCACAGACGATATTCCTCTGTGCTGAGAAATGCATCATGAGTGAATGTGGAAGACAAAAACTTCAGAAAAACATAAAGAAGGATGAGAGGCAACCACTTACATGAATAAAAACATGGATACAAAAAATGCCAGTATCTGACTTTAGAGCAGATTATGAAACATTTTACTTTCCTACAATATTGCAAATACTTCAAATTGTTACAAAAAAGCAAATAGAAACCTCAAAATTACACATACATGCATGCAAGAGCTAAGATTACAAAAGAGTTTTCTATTGTAGGCTACTTTCTGATTTGCTCCAAAAGACAGCAACATGGAACCAAGTCCTAACATCAATGAATTTATTCTATTTATATCCCAGTGTAACCGAGGACAAAATTATATCAATTTACTTCAAATTGATTACTTCTTCAACTCATCAGGTGGAGTTCTGCACATAGACTTGACCTGATCAAACATAAATTTTAAAAATTAGTTGGATTTTAAATAGAATGGCAGGATGGTTTCCTGGGCATTCCACCAAATTTGAAGTTAAAAAAAATCTGTTTAAACTTGGTGTGAAAGTTCTCCTTCCTCATAACTGTATTTGAAGCTCTCCACAGACTAACAGCTTCTCTGTATATTTAAATTAAGGCTAGACTGCCAGCCTCCACTGAGTACCATAATTTAAGGTTCTGTCATTGCTACTACAATTGATACAGAAAGGAGGAGGCAGTTAAAAATTGTTACTGAAGCAATACTAGAATGAAGGGAAATGCCTTAACTCAGAAAAAAAGTAAATTAATGTTTAAGGGCATATTTTTAAAAGACCACAAAAGAAGAGCTATTTTGGAGCTTCTAAAACACCAGGAAATAACGTGAAAGAAGTATACGTAAAGCAAGATAACAAAAAAATCACAAAAATAGCAATTTGGTAATAAAACTTCCTATGGATAATGGGAAATTTAAAAAATAAATATAATCCATAGTTAACAGGTAAAATAGTGAGGTGATTTAAGAAGGATGTGTATACATCAGTTTACTCGGATAACAGAAGTTGCCATTTCTCAACTGAGGAGCCTTTTGCCAGTGTCTGATGCTCTGGAAGGAAAATTTAAACTCTGTGAGTTATATTGGTGTTCTGGAGTACTGCATCACAGACAGAAATGTTATTCTAGATCACGTCTATTAGTTTAGATCTCGCAGACCATAGGGCTGATAGCTCCTCTGATGTCATTCTAGCCATGCCACAGAAGATAATATCATTAGCTGAGCTATCATTACATATACGTCTGCTTAGGAAAAATTGAGTTAGGCTACAATAGAAATTTTACCAGAGTAAGAAAATGGGGACTAGCATAACACATTTAATGTATTCTGTGAAGTATGCTACAATATTATCCTTAGTCATATAATACGACAGAGAGTGTTACAGGTTAATTATATGTTATGTACCTCTAGCTTTGACATTAGTGACTGTAGAACAGTCATAACTTTAGCACTTAAGATGTAGTCATGCTGTGCAAGACACAAAATTAATTTGTATTTACACAGTATTCATGTCTTTTGGTAAAATACTGAGTTTTACTTTCCTTATAAGCTCTAGGATTCTGATTAAAAATGGTACATCTTCTCCTTCCCCTACATAAAATAATTTTGTTTTTATTAGACACACTTCGTAAGGAATACTAAATGGAAAAAATAAATAGTAGACATCCAACTTCTTAGTTTTATTACCAGTTGTTCGTTATTTTAAGACCATAGACTGCATAGAGCTATTCCTGACTGACTGTGGTGAAAGTAAGAAGAGAACTGGACCTTTCAGAGCTGTATTTCCTTTGGAAAGGTCTATCGGTGCAACAGTAATAATTCCATTATACTAATTATGTGTTTTACATGGCATTGTTGTTTTTCACCTCCACTAAGCCATTGGAGATCTGTGGACCATTTCTAAACGGTATGCAAAAGGTTGCCACAAAATGCAAGTTCAAATGCATTATGAATAACAGTACAGGTGAGTTAAACTACCAAAGGGACCGTACCTTCAGTAAAAACAATTTATGAATCTACAAGCCAAAAACTGTTGAAAATAGCTGCCTTTAATGCAACAATTAACACATTTACTTAAACAAACAAACTTTTAGTTCAACATAATTCACTAAATACTACTGCTGTCAGAGTTAGTCTATTTGAAATTTACCCATTTGTGTTCTAGCACAAGTTCCACAGAGTGGCCAGATCAACATTAATCAACAAACTACTACGACGGGATTAATAATCAACTCAAAAATTTTCCTCTGAAATTCTCTGATACTTGGTCTGGTCCTTTTACCCAGCAAACAGAAATGGGATGTGAACAAGCATCCCCCCAGCAGTATGAAGCCACACTGGTCATATACTGCAACAACTTCCAACCACAGCAACGTGGGAATCGACTAATGGGAGAGAATTAATGTGTGCGAACAGGAGAGCTCTAAGAAGAGTGCTAGAAGTTCAACAAGCAAATTCATACAGTGTATTCTTTATGGATGAGAGGCCTCTGATAGATACACATGATACCTGAAACCTAATTTGTAATCATTTAACAGGATTCAAGTAAGCAATAATGGCAGCAGCGATAAAATGAGTGTGAAGTGCAGGGTTTAGTGGGTAAACCAGCAACACACCACACAAACATAGACATATACATACAACTTGGAGAAGGCATCGTCATTCACACTCAAAGATATGCCCAGTTCTTTAAACTGGGACTAGCACCACCCGAGGCACCACCGAAGCTCTGGATAAAGTCACAACGGTAAGAGATGGAGACCCAGTAGTTCTAACTGGTCCAGCCACTATTTTGCTGTGTATTTTTGAGAGGTTATGAAGCTAACACGTACATCTGAAAGACTTAATACAGGTACTGGAACAGATGGCAATGTTTGCCAAGTGCAGTTAGGTTGAAAAATGATTGAGAAATGCTCATATTTATAATTACATGGTGAAAGTCCACTTATCAATTTCCATATACTTTCCTTTTTTGCAGGGGCTGGGGGGTGAGGAAGAGCAGAACAGGACCATCTTCCCAGATCTTATCTCTTTTGAAAATAACAATGAACAAATAAGGGAGCCAGCCGGACACGCCAGCCAGCGCCAGCGGTACACATTAACATGCAAGAAACCTCAATCTTGGAATATCCTCCAACTTCTCCGGCAAGCAGAGGAGAAGTGGTGCCCCAAATTCATTTCAGAAGTGGCATTCGTGGCCTTATAGGGAAGCAAAGAGGATGGAGCTTACACCGCCGGCGGGATCCTCAGGTCCAGCTCCTGGCCTGGGCTCGCCGTGCCTACGACGGCTACCGCTGGAGACGGTGACCCCCACGACACCCCGGGCACCAGCGACCCTCCGGTGCTCCCCGACGGGCCCCCAGCACCCCTCTCTCCCCTGGGCAAGCGGATCAGCCTCGGGAAAAGAAGATGCTCTTGCAGGAGCGCGGACAGCGATCCCCTCCACTCGGACGGGCATCCCCTCCCAAAGCGGGAGGGATGCAGCCCTCCCGGACCCG